AAAATATTTTATCAGATTTTCTCAATTTTTGCATGATATTTTCATACAGGACATCTGTTGTTCAAACTCAGGGAAGACATTATACTGATGAATAAGGTGACCAAGTTTGATGAAGTTTGGAATAGAATTAGTAAAGTTATTATGCACACAATAACAATTATTAACGACAACGACAACGACAACAACAACAACAACAACGCCGGACAAAATCTTTCCCTTAATATACCTTTCCCTTCCATCTTTGATGGTACGGGCAAGGTAAAAATATATATGTCATTAACGTAATAAATACTGTAAAATAATTTTAAATTATTTTAGGTGGAATTAATTTTCGCTGAATAGAATTTTTGAGGGTTTTGTATGGAATTTATTTTCACTGATTTTTGACAAGTTGAATGTAAAATATTGAAAAAAAGGTATATTTGCTGGATTTTATTTTCACTGAATCATTCCTTCAGCAAAAATAGCGAAAATTAATTCCAAGCAAAAATAAAGTATTCTACAGTATATAATAATACAGTCTAGCAGGGCTTCTGCTATGAATAAATAGTCTTCCTCATGCCATCTATTTTTTCAGAAAATGTCAGAGCGACATAATATACATGTATTGTAGTAAAAATTAAATACAATTCGCGACTGGTGACTGGCAAAAGGTTAGTGAAAGCCCTGTTAGTACCGGGTAATTTGACTCACACTGAATCGCAGTGATACACATGCAATAATTCAAGTCATGGGAAAACTTACATATGGACCAGGAAGTCCTATTGGACCTGGAGGACCATCAGTTCCATGAGAACCCTGAAAATATACAAACACAGACCAAATGTTAACTTAAAAGCAGTTTCACACGTGTATGTGCAAAGCATTGTGGGAATGAACTTCAGAAAACTACAGAAAACTATTATAACATTAAAAACTCATTTAAGAAGATTCTTACATAATTTGAGTGATTTCTTACATAATTTCAAAAGATTCTTACCGGGTACATGAATTTAGTGATTTCTTACATGATTTCAGAAATGTTTTTACTTGGTTTCAAAAAATTTTACAGGATTTCTGAAGATATTACATGATTATGACATCATTCTCACATGATATTAGAATTTTTTTAATCAGATTTGTTAAAGACTTACAAAATGTATATGAAGAAAGTGTATTGAGACTGAGACTCTGCAAGAGAAAAAAATAGATAACCGCAGACTTACAGGCAGACCTTTCACTCCTGGAATTCCAATTGGTCCAAGTTTTCCATGCCTACCAGGTTGTCCACTCTGTCCTTTTCTTCCCAATGGTCCTTCCTGTCCCATTTCTCCTCTAGATCCCTCATCTCCAAATCCACCAGGAGAACCAGGTAGTCCCTAATGAAAAAATAATTTATTCCAAACATAAAGAAAATAATTTATATCAAACATGGAATACCAAGTTTGTATTGATAGATTTATTTATTAAATAGAATGGACTTAAAAATGATATTTAATGAAAGATGATATAATACACAGGACAATATAATAAGTGAATACTGAGATATTGACATATTAGCAGTTGGTTTACCGGGAGTCCTTGTGCTCCAGGGCTGCCAATTTTTCCTTTTTTTCCCATTGTTCCCTGAAATAGAAGATCACAGTGAATGCATACAATGTCAGAATAAAAAAGGCAACAAACATTATTACTGTAAAATACTTTATTATTTTAGCTGGATTTTTTTTTAATGAAAAGACTTTTTGTGTGTTTTGTATGAAATTTAAGGTTCACTGATTTTGGACAAGTTTAAATGTACAATATAGGTATATTCACAAAATTATTTCAAAGCGAAAATAAAGTATTTTACAGTATATATGTTTGATATAAATTCAATAAAGTACAATTCAGTTTGAAGTTTCAATGTATAAAATCAAACTTGGAAAAAATTGTTCATGGTTTGGTCAATCTAAAAAGTTAACAATTTAAGGCGCACATAGTTAACTCACCATATATTTTTAACTCATCTCATAGTTAACCAATGCAGCATATGGTTAACCCAGCTTACATTGCCGAGCATACTCCAGGTGCAATACACCCATCTCAACCCACTTCTCCCTCATCATTTTCTTTCCAGGAATAACCAATAACCCCATCTTTACGGTATAATACTTACCATGAATCCCATTGGTCCAGGATACCCATCTCGACCGGCTACTCCTTTATCACCTTTTTCTCCAGGAAAACCCACTAAACCCCATCTTTACGGTATTATACTTACCATGAATCCCATTGGTCCAGGATACCCATCTCGACCGGCTACTCCTTTATCACCTTTTTCTCCAGGAAAACCCACTAAACCTACTCTTCCAATATCTCCCTGCAAGCAAATAAGATTTTCTAATCATCAAACTACTGTAGAATACTTTATTTTTGCTTGGAATTAATTTTTCGCTATTTACGCTGAAGGAATGATTCAGTAAAAATAAAATCCATCAAATATACCTTTTTTCCTATATTTTACATTAAACTCATCAAATATCAGTGAAAATAAATTCCATACAAAACACCCAAAAAGTCTATTCAGCAAAAATTAATTCCAGCTAAAATAAAGTATTTCACAATAACTCATTGAGAATAAGCCATAATACTGTATTTGCTCCCACAGAAGCAAATATAAACCAAATATTTCATTGATACTTAACCTCTAAAATATTACTTATTATTACTTATTTTGACCACAGAAATACCTCAATAATTTGCGTATGCATAACTAACAAAGCAGATAAGAGTACATCAAATGATGATTACCATACGTCTCCAATAAGCTTACACATTTTCTTTCAATTAATTGTTTTGTTTTTTACCAAATAATTGACTTCCTATGCTATCTGATTGTCACTTATAGTTTGTTGTAAGTTGCCATGACTACTGTCAAAATTGAATTGTGTATGATTCATTCAAAAGGGTTTGATGAAACTCGTACAGAAATCACGAATATATTACACCTTATTGACTCTTCAGCGAATCAGATTCATGCATATAACGGTGACGAATGTATATAGCCAAATATGTATATGATAGATATGATTTGTTGGATTCATTCTGAACAGATCTCATAACTGGACATTTTATGTTGACCACGGTTTTGTATACAACTTGGGCTGAGTTGGTGTTGCATGTAAATACAGCCATTCTGTTTTTATTGATGTTGTACGTGTGATCCTATTTACTTATTAAAGCGGGAGGGTCGTCACCTGCGCACACGTGGGAATTGAGTTCAAAGTGACGATAACAACACACGCTCAAAATGCAAAGGCTCATGGGTAGACGCTTGTTTGTAGACAATGACACGCTATGGCCATCTGATGCATGCGCAGGTGACAACTCCCCAGCTTTAATATCAATTTCATTTTGAAAACAGTAGTTAAATATCATATAAACATATTTTAAACATTGATTACGTTGCATGGGACCCATACCAAACACATGCATAGCAACGACTGTGACTGTTGCTGAAAGTGAGTTCTACATACCGGTAATCCATTGATTCCAGCAGTTCCCTTTTCTCCAACCTCACCTTCAACACCCTGACAAAGAAAAGATATTAAGATATTAAGAAGGTGACATTTGGTACTTATCTTAATTAGCTATTCAGTGATGCTTTCATCGCTCATGTATGAAAAAGTAGTAGAAAATCTTTAAAATATTTTAAATTATCTTCACTATCAAGTTTTTAAGACAAGGGTACACATGTATGTATGCAGTTTACATAACAACGTACGCAACACTTGCGATGGAGGTCCTATCCCATACGAGGTTGACACATGCGTCACGCAAGTAGTTCTAAACAAGCTATGCATAGCACAGTCCCCGTTATCAAATTTAAGATATATAGTTTTGTTTATAGTGATATAGTTGAAACATAAACATGTCCGATGCTTGATTATGATTTTTTAACATTAAAAGAAAACATGACATTGAGAGAAATTGCTGTGAAACAGCATTAATTAAAACAAAAAGGCCATTTTTAATCAGATAGTCAAACATTGTAGATCTGTATATTTATGACATAATCAGCAAAGCATGTCAGAACTGCATTCAGTAAAACAAAATGGCTGCCAGTCAGCCATTTTGAATTTGATCTGAAAAACAAAATGAAGTGCATCAGGGGCCCATAATTTCGAATGTACGTATCGAGTTTGAATGAAATCCATTCATAAACAAATAAGATTCGGTTCTGGATGCCAAATATGTTTGATTTTTGAAGATTTTTAGCACAAAAATGGCCACCATTCGGTCATTTTGAATATGATTGTCAAATCAATAAGTCTGCATATCTATGACATAATATATAATGAATATATAGCAATAGAACCGCATTCAGTAAAACAAAATGGCCAATATTCGGCCATTTTGAATCATAATGTAAAATCAATATATCTATAACATTATAATATGTATAATAAATATTCAAAATTTGAACATAATTAGGCCAGACTTTTTTTATTCCTTGTTTTTAAATTTTTTATAAGGCAATTTTTTTGAGGAGAGCGAAAAAAAAAAAAATTAATCCTTTTTTTCCATTAGATTTGTTTGATTCTCAAAGAATTGTAAGTGAGATCATTGATCGGAGAGAAGAAATGAAATAACATTTTATTCCATGTATAACCTTGTTTCTCATCTGCGGAGACTTGGTACTTTGATCATATACTCCCATGAAAATGCAACTTGGGTTTGTTATGCAGCGGGCGGAAAAAAAATGAAGATAAAAATAATTTTTTTTAGTCAATTTTTTGCACTTACAAGTCGGCATGCGAGAGAAATACGCTGAAATAAAATTTTATTTTTATTTCATTTTGGTTCCTGTTCATTCGACAGGTTCGCAAAACAAGGGATAATAAAAGTCTGGC